CCTCCAGGGTAAAATGATCTCCACGGCAACCACTCTGCAGGGCACATCTGTCTTAATGATAACCTTTAGATTCAGCGAGCGAGAGAGAAAATTACGTACATGACTGCTCTCTTTCCGGACTCTCCTCATCCGTCTGAGCAAGAGTGGGGGACCGAGAGAGCACAAGAGCAACAGAGCTGCAGAGGGAGGGACGGACGAGAGAGAGACACACAGAGAGAGAGAGAGAGAGTTTTACCTTCATGGTCTATACTCCATTGTTTTCTGCTGTGTTTTCGGCACACTTCTATATCTCCTTAGCATAATCTCTACGCTTGTCACCTTCCCTCTCAGTTTTCTCTGTAAGACTGAACATTGTCCTGAAGCTTACTGTGCAAGAGAGAGAGAGAGAGAGAGACAGAGAGAGAGAGAGATGTCTGACTGCTTTCTCTCTTTAATTCTAGTCCCTTTGTCTTAAATGCTTTTTGATTTCTACTTGTCTTTTTACCTGCATTATGTCTCCTTTTTTGGTCTGTCTGTGTAGTATGTTCCTTTCACATGCATTTCTCCCTCTCTCTTTCTCTTTTTGAGTGTCAGGGAGATTGTGGCAGCGGGATTGAGCCCATGATTGGCTGCCACTCAGTTGTCGCCGATGAAAGACAGCGGGAAAAAAAGAAGGGTAGAGAGAGAAGAGGCTTTACTCCCCTGGAGGTGCGGTTTTGACTTGGCTTGCCACAGATTGTAGGGGGTGGGTAGAGAGATACACTGCCAATGTTCGAGAGAGGTGGAAAGTGAGAAAGCGAGAGGGAAGAGGTCAAGGAGATGAGGGCCATGGGCGTTAGAGCCGCAAGCAATAGATGGCGGTAGCGATCCACAGCTAATGAACGTCGTGTGATAGATGGACTCATCGATGCAAACTGTCCAAAGCGATCCGAGCTTGATCTAATCAGGGTTCAATGACAGTGGAATGAAGGAGAAAGAGCCCATAATAAGTAAATCAACACCAGGAGAGAGGCAAAAGTGAGGTAGGAGTTGGGGGCGGGGTGGACCATGTCCAGGCACTCAGCGGGAACGTCATTACCTGCTCTCTCCTGCAATTCATATCAGTCCATCACCTCACATAAACCAAACCGATGGAGAAAAGCTGGATTTTGTATTGCTGCAAAGACCAAGCAGAGCATATATATTACCAGAGCATCGGACAGTTAGGAAGAGTTAAAAATCGATACAGATCAACATATCGAACTGAACCAAAGTTTTAGACCCTCCTTGTTTGTCTGTTTTTTAACATTTTTAGTGAATTATGAATAAATATGATATAAAAAGCCTCATTTGTTATCAAGTATCTATCTATCTATCTATCTATCTATCTATGTACACATTAAATTGATAAAAAATGACAAATTATTACAAATTGCTGTTCCTGTGAACTTTCTATTCAACTACAAAAATATTAAGCAGCCTAACAGTTTTCAACATTGATAATAATAGGAAATGTTTCTTGAGCAGCAAATCTGCATATTAGAATGATTTCTGAAGGATCATATGACACTGAAGACTGGAGTAATGATGTAAAAATAGCTTTGCATTACAGGAATAAATAATATTTTAAAATATATTAGTTCCTTTCACATGCATTTCTCCCTCTCTCTTTCTCTTTTTGAGTGTCAGGGAGATTGTGGCAGCGGGATTGAGCCCATGATTGGCTGCCACTCAGTTGTCGCCGATGAAAGACAGCGGGAAAAAAAGAAGGGTAGAGAGAGAAGAGGCTTTACTCCCCTGGAGGTGCGGTTTTGACTTGGCTTGCCACAGATTGTAGGGGGTGGGTAGAGAGATACACTGCCAATGTTCGAGAGAGGTGGAAAGTGAGAAAGCGAGAGGGAAGAGGTCAAGGAGATGAGGGCCATGGGCGTTAGAGCCGCAAGCAATAGATGGCGGTAGCGATCCACAGCTAATGAACGTCGTGTGATAGATGGACTCATCGATGCAAACTGTCCAAAGCGATCCGAGCTTGATCTAATCAGGGTTCAATGACAGTGGAATGAAGGAGAAAGAGCCCATAATAAGTAAATCAACACCAGGAGAGAGGCAAAAGTGAGGTAGGAGTTGGGGGCGGGGTGGACCATGTCCAGGCACTCAGCGGGAACGTCATTACCTGCTCTCTCCTGCAATTCATATCAGTCCATCACCTCACATAAACCAAACCGATGGAGAAAAGCTGGATTTTGTATTGCTGCAAAGACCAAGCAGAGCATATATATTACCAGAGCATCGGACAGTTAGGAAGAGTTAAAAATCGATACAGATCAACATATCGAACTGAACCAAAGTTTTAGACCCTCCTTGTTTGTCTGTTTTTTAACATTTTTAGTGAATTATGAATAAATATGATATAAAAAGCCTCATTTGTTATCAAGTATCTATCTATCTATCTATCTATCTATGTACACATTAAATTGATAAAAAATGACAAATTATTACAAATTGCTGTTCCTGTGAACTTTCTATTCAACTACAAAAATATTAAGCAGCCTAACAGTTTTCAACATTGATAATAATAGGAAATGTTTCTTGAGCAGCAAATCTGCATATTAGAATGATTTCTGAAGGATCATATGACACTGAAGACTGGAGTAATGATGTAAAAATAGCTTTGCATTACAGGAATAAATAATATTTTAAAATATATTAGTATAGCAAACAGATATTTTAAGTTGTAATAATATTTCAAAATATTGCTGATTTTAACACATTTTTTGATCAAATAAATGCAGCATCGTGAGTATAAGAGACTGATTGAAAATACTTAAAATACTTAAAACACAATATAAATGATACATAAAAGCAAAAAAGCTGTGTAATTGTAAGAAATAAATCCATCATTAAGGAATTTTTTATTAAAAAAGCATCCCCTAGTAAAAAATAATAGCCTAATATAAAAGTCCATCCCCTGTTGTTCCCTCACATCAAAATCCACCAACATATTTACTTAGAACTGTTTTTGCTTGTAAACAGTGTGCATATTTCTCTCCTGATTCAGACAATATTTTCACAGGATAAAGCAGTATTAGACATAAAGGATATTGCAAGGTAGCAGTTTGTCTACCTTTGAAGTCTGGGGCTTCAAGCTATTGCATGACAAAAACATAGCTAGATTAACCTCAAAACTATTATATATCTGATATTAGACATTTCTTGTACCATCTCCTTTTATGCAGTGGAATACATTACCACATGAGGCACTACTGCTGTATGATGCTGTTTGACTGTCATTTAGCATCACACATATGATCCAGATCTCAGAGCTTTAACAGACTCTCTTTTCCCTCTTCCAGTTCACCTCTGCTGATGGCCAAGCGTGGGAAGTTAAGTCTGTAGACAAGTTCAGTCACGGTGTGTAATGTCTCCAGTTGGGGGCAGTATTGGGCCAAAGTTATTTTTGAAAAAGCTCCTCATTCATTCTCTCTGACTAATGACACATTATTAGGCCTTAT